TTTGAGCTTGAAAGAATATAATTTGAATACACAAGAGAGTTGACAAAGGAATCAAGCAAAGAAGAAGAACAAAAGCTGGTTCGCTAGGCGAACATCTGGCGAGTGAGTAGCGAGTGTTCGCTGCAACCTCGCCTAGCGAGCTGTTAGCGAACACTCCCAGACTTGGGCAGAAGCATTCTTGACATCATTCGCTGGTAGCGAGCATATGGCGAAAGACTTGTTAGGCGAGCTCCCAGCGAGCACCTAGCGAGCAGCTCCAAAATCAATCAAGCATCCTTCGTTGGCTGGTTCGCTGCAGCGAAGACATAGCGAAGCAAAACAGAAGAAAAACTGCAGTTCTCGCTAGCATGTTCGCTAGGCGAGGCTGTAGCGAGCGTTCGCTAGCAGCTCTCCTAGCGAGTAGGTAGTGAACGTGCCCAGATTTTCCACTTTCTATAAGTAGCAGGGGCTACTTTTTGGACATATCTGTTTTTTTACTTGTTTTTACATAGTTTTTACTAGAGAGTGAAATTTTGTGCCCTAGAACCCTTTTGACTCTCATTTCTTCACCTCTTAACATATTCCAACAAAAAGAAGGTGGATTCTCATCCAAGTTGGATCATTCGACCCGGATGTTCATCAACCTTCTTCTGAAACTTCTTTTGCAAGCTACCAAGGAAATGAGTGGCTAAGTTCTTTATTTTGTCAAGGTTAGATGTAGGTGATCATTAAGATTTGTATGTATATGGATGATCCTCATTTGTAAAACTCATTGATGATTAATATATGGTGAAAACCTTGTTTTATTTACAACCTTTCGTGTTGGTTCTTGATTGAAAGATATTTTCCAACACTTGACCTAGGTTTTCATCCATCTCCTTTCTTGAGCTAGAAATAGTCTTGAATGTTGTTGTTCACTAAAATATTAAACCTAAATGTTGTCATTTTGATAGATTGTGTGAGAAATCAACAATGGATCAAAATGGGAAATATCACAATGTGAGTTAGAGATAATCATATTGGGAGGATATTGTGAATGTGTTTATCATTAAAAAGAGTTTATGCATTGTTGATCGAACATATACATGCAAAGTGATTACCAAACCCTAACTTTGACAATCTTTATTTAAATCGTAAAACCAAAATTTTACCGCATTTCTTACTTCTATGCAAAGCTACCGTGACTTAAAACAAAACTGCCTTTTGTTACTATAAAGTTACGAATTTATCAATTGTCGAATGACTGCAATATCTCATATTCCCTGTGGAGACGATAACAAAAACCCGACACTTTACCACCGTTCTAACAGGCTTCAGAGTCATCTGAGTCATCCCATGTGGCCATCAAGACTTTCTTCTTTTTCTCAAACTTCTTTCTGGGTTTCTCCTTCTGAAGTTTGGGACATTCACTTTTGTAGTGTCCTGGCTCCTTGCACTCAAAGCATACAATTTCTTTCTTGCCAGGTCTTTTGTATCCAGAAGATTCGCTACGTTGCTCTGGTCTTTTGAAGTTTCTGAACTTTTTTTGCTTATGCTTCTAGAGTTGATTTATCCTTCAGGAAAGCAAAGACACTTCATCTTTATCTGAGGAAGATTCTCCAGAGCTTTCCTCAAGTACCTGAAAAGCTTTCGTGTCATATTTTTATTAGATTTTAAAGCAATAAACTTACCTTTCTTCTGAGGCTCGTCTTCTTCCAGCTCTATCTCATGACTCCTTAAGGAACTGATGAGTTCCCCCAGAGTGATCTTGTTGAGATCCTTTGGTAGCTTCAGCATTGTGACCATGGGTCTCCACTTCTTTGGCAGACTTCTGATGATCTTCTTCATATGATCAGAAGTGGAGTATCCTTTGTCAAGGACCGTTAAGCCAGCTGTCAGAATCTGGAATCTTGAAAACATAGTTTCCACAGATTCTTCTTCTTCCATCTTGAAGGCTTCATACTTATGAAAAAGCGCAAGAGCCTTTGTCTCCTTCACCTGAGAGTTTCCTTCATGTGTCATCTTTAATGACTCAAACATGTCAAATGTTGTTTCTATATTTGTGATTTTCTCATTCTCAGTATGAGATATAGCATTTAACAGAATGGTTCTAGCTTTGTGATGATTTCTGAAATTTCTTTTCTGTTGATCAGTCATTGACTTTCTGTCCAACTTTTTGCCCTCACGATCAGTGGGGTGAATGTATCCATCAATGACCAAATCCCATAGATCAGCATCATAGCCTAGAAAGAAACTTTCTATTCTATCCTTCCAATAATCAAATTTTTCTCCATCAAACATTAGAGACTTTGTGCTGATTCTATCTTTATCATCATATTTGTTGTATGAGGTTGAAGTTGAAGTTTCAGCCATAATATCAAGAATAATAAATCAAGAGTTTTCCCAACTGGATTTTTCTCTCACTGTTAAGTGATAGCACTTTCAGAGCCGGAGCTCTGATACCAACTGAAGGTAGGAAAACACTTAGAAGGGGGGGGGGGTTGAATAAGGGGTTTTCAAATAAATATGACAATAGAAAATAACAAGTTATTTTTATCTTGGTTCGTTTGAACTCAAACTACTCCAGTCCACCCGGCCAAGGTGATTTCGCCTCTCTCAAACGAGGACTTAATCCACTAAATCAAAACTTGATTACAGTGATTTCCACTAAGACAACTGTCTTAGCCTTCTCAAGAATCCTGACCACAACTTGGTCTCTCAAGGAACTTTTACAAGAGTAAAATACAAATGTGTTTAAGGTGCTTCTAAAAAGCTATTATCACAACTGTGATTTACACAAAATGAAGAACAAATAAAACTTAGTGTTTTATGTAGAAAGTTGTTTGTATGTTTTCTTTGATTGCTTTTATGAATTCTTTCTTTCAAAATGTTGTAGCAAATTGTTGTGTTGAAGTGTTGATGAAGACTTCTTTATATACACCACTTTCTCAATAGTGTGTAGAAGAAAGTACTATAGGATGTAGACATAAAGGACAAATACTTTTCGTCTTGATTTGAGATTCCCTTTTTGCCTGAAATCCTGTGTTATGCACGAATGAGAAATAGTACCGTTGGTAGACCTTGGGTTTAACAACGTCTCTTTCTTGAACACTTCCTTTTCAAATAAACATATAGGAAAAATAGTCATTCATCAGATTCTCTGATGTTGTTCCTTGTTCTTCTTATCAGAGTCACTCTTTCAGAGTCTTGCAGCAAAGTGCTTAGCGTGAGTTATGATCAGAGTTGACTTAATTCAGAGCATCTGTACTTGCAGCGTTAAGTTCTCAGAGTCTTCTAAATATACTGAGTCTTTATACTCTGCGCTCAGAGTCTTCTGTAGGTAGTGCTTTCAGAGTCTTCTGCTTCAGAGTCTTCTTCAGCAAGCGCTTCAGAGTCTTCTTCAACAAGCGTTTTAAAGTCTTCTGTGCTGCGCTTTAGAGTCTTCTGCAGCATTTCAGAGTCTTCTGCAGTTGCACTTCCTACGCTCAGAGCTTAGCGTTATATTGTTCAGAGCTTTGCTTTAAATCATGTTCAGAGGAATTCTTTGTCTTCAAATGAATATTTGTTTGATATCTGGAAAAAAACACTTGAACAAAATTAGAGTATATATTTTCTTATACAAAATTTCATTAATGTTATCATCAAAATATTGAGATATATTAAGAATCAATCTGTGCTCTAACACTACGTTTATTATTCTGGTGAATTTGGCTTACTTGGATATTTCTCAAGTTTAGTGCTTTCAATCTTCTGTCAACTTCAGCCACAACCTGGTCTTCCAACTAATTATCGTTGATTGATACTTTCAGATTAATCACTTCTCCTTGCATCAATCATACAATTCTAAATATTCATTTATAGGATGACTATCAACTCTATATGAGAATGCAAAGTTTGTTCTTAAATATTGGTGGTGGCTTTCCAAAGCAACCAATCCATGGTTTTTTCTTTAATTGTAGAAGTTTTATTTGTTCTTTTGTAATTGTGGGGAATATGTTTCTGTGAATTGTAATGAGGTTGAGATACCCCTAGTATCTCTTACTTTGAATACATCTTGCTTATAAAAAAAAAATAACAATAACTTTAACACATAATTTGTACAATAATCATAAATTTAAAATATTATATTTTATACAATAATCTACAAATTAAAAACATATCTTTTAAAATTATATATGATTATCAATTTAATTAGTACCAAAAATTTATATATATTACAAAATAATTTCAGTCTTAAAATTCAATAACATAATATTTAAAATCAACAAAATATCCTTGATTTTAGTAAATAAGAAAATCATGGGTATGCAATAGAATTTTTTTAATCATAAATTATCTAATTAATTTATTATAAAATAAAATAAAAATTATTTTTTCAAAGAGTTATTAATGAAGAGAATAAAATATATGAACACATCATAAAAGGATTGATAATAAATAATACCTCTTTACTATTGTTAAAACAATAGTTTGAGGTGCAAAAGGTCAGAGTATAACATGATCAATTATCAAGTCAAACTAATACATAAAATATTAATTGCTATTACTCAAATTGGTATGTTTAATATTTAACATTTGAAATGATAACTTAAAAATAAAATAAACCAAATGTCAATCCTAATAAAATAAACTGGCGTGCAATATAAAATACGAAATTACATACCGTGCCCCAATATAAATCAAAATGAATAAAATAAAAAATAACACAAATTAATTTTTTATTAAAGTAACAACCATATAAACAATGGTTTGAAATTAATTTATCGTGTAAAATGTTGTTTATATTATAGTATATAAAAAATAATTAGACGGTAAATGTTCGTACATCCAGCGAATGAACATGCAAATAATCATTAAGTCAACTTGTGCATCGCGATCGATTGTCCAACGCAGCTTCCACTAACAAACCCTAAAGTTTATCAAAATAATGTAATAATATAAAAAGCACTTTTATTCACCTTTATAAATTGCCACCTTCATTGATCCATGTTCTTGCTATCGAGTGTTGGAAGCAATTAATTGCAAATTAATCACAAGTCATTATGGCTAAAATCGCGTTAGGAACACCCCAAGAAGCCACTCAACCGGATTGCATCCAGGCTCTCGTTGTTGAATTCATTGCCACCTTTCTCTTCGTCTTTGCTGGTGTTGGTTCTGCAATCACTGCCGGTATATCTATATATCTAACACTTATTTTTATCATCATATGATTATACAACAGTAACATTGTTTCATCACGCGTTGTTCTGATTCGAAATTTATGCTAATAGATAAACTCAACGGAGATGCGTTGGTCGGATTGTTTTTTGTGGCTATAACACATGCTCTCGTGGTGGCTGTGATGATTTCCGCCGCTCACATTTCCGGTGGCCATTTGAATCCTGCCGTGACACTAGGCCTCCTTGTTGGCGGCCACATCACCATCGTCCGTTCGGTTTTATATTGGATTGATCAATTGGTTGCATCTGCAGCAGCTTGTTATCTTCTTCATTACCTAACTGGTGGATTGGTAAGTATCAAAAGTTCTCACAAATTTTTCAAATAATACTCTCATTAACACATACACTTGAAAAACAGTGTGTATGTGTTCTTGTGACACAGACACCGATACAATACTGAGATATGTGATTATATTAATTTATAATTTTTTTTAAAATATTAGTGTCAATATGAAGTTTTAGTGTTGTGTCTAATGTCCTTGCTTCATAGCTCTCAGATGTTCTTCCTCTATTCGGTGTTCTTGCTTCATAATTCTAATTTAATTAGTCATCTAACTAATCAAATGTAGTTTTATAATTTTAAATATATAAAAGATTAATTGTTAGTAGTAATGGTATAAGATAACTGATAAAGAATAATGCATGATTACTATATATATTCTTGCATATGAAAGGGAAAAAGATAATGGCCTTTTTTTGTCTTTTATTGTTGGAAAGCAACATGATAGAATGATTGTACATTGAATATTGCATGATTACAGACAACTCCAGCTCATACACTTGCAAGTGGAATAGGGTACACACAAGGAGTGGTTTGGGAGATTGTGTTGACATTCTCTTTGTTGTTCACTGTTTATGCAACTATGGTTGATCCTAAGAAGGGAGCACTTGATGGGCTTGGGCCAACTTTGGTTGGGTTTGTGGTGGGGGCTAATATCTTGGCTGGTGGGGCTTTTTCAGCTGGTTCAATGAACCCAGCAAGATCTTTTGGGCCTGCTTTGGTTAGTGGAAATTGGACTGATCATTGGGTTTATTGGGTTGGGCCACTTATTGGTGGTGGGCTTGCTGGTTTTGTTTATGAGAATTTCTTTATTAATAGAGATCATGTTCCTCTTGTTGATGAAGAAAGCTACTAAGAATTAAGATTAGGGTTTTTGTTGGGAACTTGCATGAAGTTTGTGTTATTGTGCTTTAATATGGACATATGTATGGGGTTGGGCCACGTGTTTGGTAGAGAAATAAAAAGGTAAATTGAATTCTAGTGTATTATATTTGTTGAAGAGAGAAATGTTGTATGTAACTTGCAATTTACATCAATAATCTAATGGATTGTACTCATTGATATTGATAAGAAAATTGAGAGAATCAAAGGTTATTGTTATGAGTGATTTTACACTCTTGTTCTTTCACTAATGTTGTGTTGTTTTCAAAATATGGGTGTTATAATTAGTTTGTCATTGATACAAATAAGTGGGATTCCTTCATTGAACTCAAAATAATATACAATGGCTTAATGTTTATCCTAATAGGCAGAAATGCGAGAGAAATTTCAAAAATTTATATTCAAAATGTGAAAGGAGAGAAGGGGCAACAAGAATTTGTGTACTTTGTAGTTACTATAATGTTATTTTGTTTGAAGGACGGTTAGGGATTTGTTCGGGTTCTTCGACCAAACAATTAGAAAATTCAATCATAAAATGTTGATAGTTTGGTAAGGATTCAACTAGTATATGTTGATGTTCATTCTTGAATGTTGGATCCAAAATTCTAATAGCTTCTAATCTTACAACAAATGCAAAAGTTTATGTATAATCAATATCTCCCTCTTAACTATAGTATTTTTTTCTTACAATTTTATGTTGTTTATTGAGTTTACTTCTAAAGATCCATTTAGTTTCACTTGGATGTTTTTATTTAGTATGTGGCATAATATCTCAAATATGATTCCTCTCAAATTTATAGAGTTCTTCTTACATGACCATTAACTTTAACAAATTTGACGTCTTGTAGTAGTCCGTCTTACACGTTTTCAAAGACAGTCATATCTAACACATGATAGAACTTCATCTATTGATGTTGGCTCTATCATAAAAAATTCCAACTATAGAGAATTCATTTTTGATTGAAGGTCTTATGTTATTCCAATGATTTGATCTTCATGGTGAGGAAATTTGTATTTCCGATTATGCTTTTGATTATAGTTATTCTCACTCCCAACATCATCTGCCTCACTAGGGTCATTTGGAGGCGTGTTTGCTTCACCTGAGGAAACCGTCTTTGGTTCCTCTGATATTTATATATTTGAAAATCTTGTGTACAACTTTGTCATTAAACCTTACATGTTTTATTTTTTAACCGTCAATATTTATTTATTATACACTATGTGTGTTCTAGAACATTTAGAGGGTCCTAATAAGATGTATTTTTGTGCCTTTGAATCAAATTTTTAGCAATAATTAAAATTATCGTGTAACATTTTCAACTACATCAAATAATGCTAACTAGATAACTCTACAATATTAACACATAATGGAGATTACCGTGACGAGAAACAAAGCATAGAAAACACACATAGACTTAAAGAGAGAGAAAATTCCTCTTGCTAAAATCTCCTAACGATCATAAAGGAATATGGCACAGTCCCATGATATTCACAAAGAATATTTGGTATTTTTGTTATTACATATGGATTGGCTTGTTTTTATCGGCAAAATGTTAAATAAGATGTCACAAAAGTTGCTTAGACATATTGGCTTCGTTACCCACTAGTGCACTAGTTTTTGAAAGATTTCATTTGATTTCAGACTCTGTGTTCCGATTAATTGCACTATTTGTTTTAGGAAAGATTTTTTTTGAAAATATTTGATTTACTGGAGATTAGATTTGTTATGGATTTGTTTGTAACCTAATGGATTTTCTAGCTGGATTAACATCTTTATATAAAGATATTTGTTCCCGTTGTGGATCAATAAGACAAAAGAGAATACAAACATTCTAAGAGATTGAGCATCGCATCGAGTCTTGTAGTGTGTTTTGCTTGTCTTAAACTCTATCATTTGTTATTCATCACTACTTAGGAGAGATAGAGTTTTGGTTTGTATTTGTGAAGAATGTCAGATTCTTATTATTGATTCTTACAAACACTTAAGAGCGTGTTTGAGTAAAATTGAGGGATCTCATATTCAAGGGGAGCCTGGGTTGAAATTCATGAATATTATTTGAAAAAGGGCTCTGAATCGGGAGAGTTCAGTTTAGACCGTTGTGTACTATTGAATATTTATTATTAGTGAATTTCTTTCCACTGAACTACTTTCCTCCAGACGTAGGTGACAATTGCACCTAATTGGCTTAACAATTCCTTGTGTCTTTTAATTATTTCTTTTTATCTTTTTAGCTTTTAATTCAGATCATCGTGTTTCAAACATTGTCTCATCATTGTGTGTGCCATTTTGTCTTTGATCTAACATGATTTTAATTAGCATCAGAGAAGACACCCTATTTTTGTTGGGTGCGTTCTAGGGTAACTAATATTTTCTGTTTAAGATGGACAATATTAAGGAAATGGGATTTTTTAACCATCTATAAATTCTTGATGGAACAAATTATGACTATTGGAAGGCTCACATGATTGCCTTTCTTAATCCATGGATAGCAAAACCTATAAATTTGTCATTAATTGATAGACACCTCCTACGAATAAATCTGATGATGGTTCTAAATATGTTAAACTAGAAAAGGATTATGAACTTGTTAAAGATGAATTTTCTCTTGGAACTTCTCATGCTCTTAGCTCCTTTTAATATCCTTAAGGAGAAAACTATTTTTAAATTCAATGTTCGTATCTTTGACATTTCCATTAACTCTTTTGCTCTCTGTGAAAAGATGCTAGAAGAGAAGCTTGTGAGAAATATTTTGAGATCTCTACCGAAGATGTTTGGCATGAAGGTTACTTCCATTAAATAAGCACTATATGTCCCTATAATGAAAGTTGGTGAATTTTTTAAATCCTTGATCACCTAAGAGATGGATATTAATGATAAATATGAGAAAAAGAGTAAAGGAGTAGAGTTTAAAGCCAATACGATTGATCATGGAGACCAGGCATCCAATGCCACCGAGGAAAATATTAATGAATATATTGCTATGCTTGATAATAATTTTAGCAAGATTATGAGAAAACTTGATAGAATATATGGGAATAATATCTCTTCAAATGTCAGAAAAACAACAACATAATCTAAGAAGTGGTTACTTTTAGTGTTGAGGAAGAGATTGTGAAAGATAAAACTCTAGATATCTTAACAGATCCAAAGGAATCAAATGTCATGAATGTTAAGGATTTAGGCATATCCAAGTTGAGTATCCTAATTTTATTAGAAAACAAAGAAAAAGGTACAATGCCACCTTTCGAATGATGAGTTTTACGAAGGAGATGGATCCGATCAGACAACTAGTGTTGTTGCATTTAATACTCGCATGAAAGAGATTTGTTACACCGAGTTACCTAGTGATAATTTATTTTTGGATGATAATGGGAATATAAGTGATGAAGATGAATTATTTGGTGATTCCCTTGCTAAATCCTATAAAACTCTTTATTTAAAGTGGACTGAAGAATCCCTAAAGCACAAGGAAAATTTTGAAACTCCTATTTAAGATAAAACAATACTTTCGCCCACTATTGTTAAGTTAAAGTAGGAAGTTGGGTGTCTCAATTATAAACTTTAAGGAATGCCTAGCTATATGTACATGCTAAATTTCGGGGCTGGTAATCTCTATGCTTTTTTATTATTGATAAAGCTAGGAAGAACATGAAGGGACTTGGATATAATGGCAGATCATCCTTCCAAAGACTGTGTTTGTTCCTCTTATACAGAAAATGGAAACAAAGATGTCTCATATAATGTTTCAACAACCTATCATACATTGTTACCAACATACTAATGAATTGGTTAGGAATCTTACCAATAGACCTCCATGGGTATGTCATTACTGTGGTCGATGTGCTCGCATTCATCCTTTCTTCTATATGATGTATAGGAAAAAATGTTCATCGAAATCAATTATATCAATAGTGGAGTATGAAGTCTCTCCCACATCCTTAACAATTTTGGCGTGTCAAGCTTAAGCATTAAGTCAATATTGCTTGCACCTTTATTATAGTTTCGTCTAGAGAAGACAAATACTTTGATACTGGTTGTTCCAGACACATGAATAGTAAAAGAAACTATTTGAATAATATTAAACCTTATTACAAAAACTATGTTACTTCTAGTGATGGTGTAGAGGAAAAATTGTTGGAAATGATTAGTGTGATTATCTTGGTTTTCCTTGTCTTAATGATGTGTTGTTGGTTAATGGTATTATTACAAATCTCATTAGTATTAACCAACTATGTGATCATGAATTGAACATTAATTTTAATAGTGAAGAATTCATTGTCTCAGTCAAACAACACACTCAATTCATGAAAGTTATAGTTTAATACTACATATGGTAATCCTCTCATGGGAATCAACTCCAATAATGCTAATCTATATAGTTTAAGAAACTAAGTTGTGGAATATGAAGTTTGGGTACCTGAATCTCAAAAAAAAGTATAAGGAAAATTATTTTTAAAAAGTCTACTGTTGGCAAACTTAATCTCAAGATTGAAGAAAGTAAAACTTTTGCAAACTATTTGGTTGGGAAGCAAACCAAGATGTCTCACAAGAACGTACACCATCTTACCATTACTTGTGTTCTTGAACTACTTCATATGGATGTTATAGGACTCATGCAATTTGAGAGTCTTAGAGAGAAGATATATGCTTTTGTCTATGTTGATAACTATTCCAAATACATCTGGTTTAGTTTATTCATGAGAAGTCTGGAACGTTCGTTGTTTTTGAAACTCTTTGATTTGTTTAAAACGTGAAAAGTGAGAAGATAAAAGATCATTCGCATTTGAAGAAATTAGTGCATAGAATTTAAGAAAATCAACTTCTCTTCTTTATGCAATACTGGAGGGATTACTCATAAATCATATGCCCCTATCACACCTTAGAAGAATGTGATTGTTGAAAGGAAGAACCATATTGTAAGAAATTGAGAGTTATAATCCATTCCAAACACCCGCCATATCATTTTTGGGCTGAAGCAGTGAATATTGCTTGTCATATTCACAACCGAGTCATAATTCAAAAGGGTACCACTATCACTCATTATGAGATATGAAGGGGGAAGAAGCACAACCTTAAATATTTTCATGTGTTTGGAAATGCAAATTATATTCTTATAGATTGTGAATAGAAAATAAAATTTGATCCAAAGAGCGATGAAGGAATTTCTCTGAGCTATTCCATTAACATCAGGGCTAATCAAAATTTTAACAACTGTATAAAACCAATAATAAAGTCCATAAATGTTATTTTCAATGACGAGCAATCTGAAGTGATCATTTATAAAGATGAATATTCTACTCTCACTAGTCAAAACGATAAGAAAGATGTTCCACAAAATGTGCAGAACAACTTGCAGTGTACAAAAAGGACGAAGATTCAAATAGTGATGAAGATATTGTTGCTAAAATAACAGAGTTGTCATCAAGGTTCAAGAATAATCATTATATCGACAACATCATAGGAAACTTAGATAAAAGAATCATTACACGAAGAAAAAACCCAGTTAACTATAGAGAAACAATATCTAATATGTGCTTTATTTCAAAAATTGAACCCAAGAATGTGAAAGAAGCCAACAATGATGAATTTTGAATCAATGCTAAGCATGAAGAGCATATTGAGTTTGAGAGAAATGAAGTGTGAGAGCTTGTTCCTATAGCTAATTTTGAAAATGTCATTAACACTAAATGTATTTACAAGAATAAGTATAATGAGAATAGATGTTACTAGAAATAAAGCTCATCTTATGGCACAGAGCTACACTCAAATTGAATGGATTGACAATGATGAGACCTTTGCTCGTGTTACTCTTCTTGAAGATCTTAGATTATTACATGGATTGTCTTATCTTCTTCGGCTTGAACTCTATAATATGGATGTGAAAGTGTCTTTCTCAATGGGTACTTGAATGAGGAAGTCTATGTTGAACAACCAAAAGGATTTGTTGATCCATGTCTTTCCAACCATGTCTACAAACTCATAAAGGCTCTTTACAACCTCAAGAAAGCCCTCAAGGGTTGACATGAAAGACTAAAAAATTCTTATTATGAATGACTGTGTTCGTGGTGGAATTGACAAGACTCTAATTGTGAAGAAGAATTATGGAAAACTTTTGATAGCTCAACTATAAGTTGACGATATTTTATTTCGAGGCATATCAAGAAAGATGGTGGATCCTTTTGTCCAACAAATGCAGTTTGAATTTGAGATTAGTATGGTCACCGAACTTACCTATTTTCTTGGATTTAAAATAAAACAAATGGAAGATGGTATCCTTACTTCACAAAGTAGATATGAGAAGAACACTATGAAGAAATTTGGCTTAGAAAATGCTCGAAAAACTCAACACTTGTTACCACACATATCAAGTTGTCAAAAGATGAACAAGGAGTCTTTGTTGACCAAAGCCTTTACAAGAGTATGATTGGTAGTCTCTTGCATCTCACTACCAATTGCCTTGACATTACTTTTTCTGTGAGATTTTGTGATCAATATCAATCCATTCCTAAGATTATCCATCTCACTCAGGTCAAACGTATCATCAAATACATAAATGCAATATCTGACTATGAAATTTTGTACTCCTTTAATACAACACTGTCAGGGCAAAGAGTGTTTACGATAGAAAAAACATTTGATAGATGTTTTCTTTTTGAAAACAATTTAATCTCTTGATTTAATAAAAAGCAAAATTGTGTCTCCATTATTGCTGTTGGAAACAGTCAAACTCAACTATTATAAATGAAATAAATACTCAAAGAGTATAATGTTACATAAAATACCATGACATTGTATTATAACAACACGTCAATACATCATAATAAAGTATATTGATATTCACATCATTTCATCTAGGAAATGGATGAAGATAAGAAGATCACATTTGAATATTATGAAATTCAATAAAATAAAATAAACATATTTAATTAATCTTATTACATTATTTGTGTATGTTAATAATTATGTAGTCTATTTTTGACTTTAAAAGATAATTAAAAGTGACATTCTTGACTTTACGTTGATTTTGGTGAGTTCGAAATATTTGTCAATTTGCAATAAACTTATACTATACGTTTTCTCTTTCTTTTTTTGATGCAAAATTAAAATTTGCTGACTGTTCTCATGTTGCGGTGGCATTCATAAGCCTAATGTGGTATTATTATACATGTCAGAACAAGAAAGCTCCATCAATGCAACTTTGATTAAAAAACTTTATACTATACAATATTAAATATTGTCACATAGTACCTCTTAATTCATGTTCATGTTGTTGAAAATTCTAAACACTAGTAACACCGTTGAAGGAACTTCCAATTTTGTAATTAGTGCCAAAAGTCATAAACTCAGTTTCTTATTTTTTTTTTCCTTTTCTTTTCAATCTTAAATAATTCTACAAGCTACCGAAGTTGGTGTTTGGTTCTGAAACTCTGCATGCAAAAGGAAAAGAGAAGAAAGAGAACAAATCTTGGAACCTCTTGCTAATGAACTTCAAGTTAACTTTTTCTTTGGAATCTTTTCTTCTTCTGTGTAGCTCAAGGTTCTTATTCTATGGTGCTTTCTATCCTTTTCTTGATTTTTTTATTTGGTTTTGCATGTAAATGGTTTATTGTTAGGTTAGTTACAAGTCAAGTTTTGGTGAATCTTTTTGTGTTTATGAGTTTCTTTCATCTTCTTGTTGTTTTGCAGAGTGCTGATTCTTGTCAATTGATGATGGTTGAAGAATTTTAAGCAAAATGAGTGGAGATTTTGTGTCAATGTTTCACCTTGAAACAAAGAGATTGTTATGGCTTATTGGTATAACTTTTTCAGTGATCTTAGCTTTTCAGTATCTTGAACTTCCATATGGCAGTGTTGTTCTCTCTCTATTCTCTTCTGATAAAGTACCAACATCAGAAAATACCAACAAGACTATTGTTAACAATGTCACAGTTTTCAATCAGGAAAATTCTACTCATGAGCTTGGTTTTGTCTTGGAACCAGAATGGCCACAAAACAAATCTCAAGGATTCGATGATTCTACGACAAATGTGAGTCCAAATATAACAACTGCAGTGTTATCAACTGATGATAACATGTTACTATCTCAGAAAGAGAATGTGACTAATTCTATAAAGAATGAGAGTTTTAGGCCATCACCACCAGAAACTGGTGGCGATGTACAAAGCAAAAGATCTCCTGTCAGCACTGTGCCTAAGGAGAAACAAGAATTTCATACACCTGTTCCAGAAGTCACAACAGTTTCTGAAATGAACAAGTTATTGATTCAAAGCCACGCGTCGTATCGATCAATGGTATGTGACATAATGACTGGGAGGTTTTGGCTAATGTTCAAATGTTCTAAGCTTGTGTTTTTTATTTTGTGTTTTAGAAACCAAGGTGGTTTTCAAGTGTTGATCAAGAGTTACTGCAGGCAAGATCAGAGATTGAAAATGCACCAATTGTAAAGAATGATCCCAAACTTTATGGTCCAATTTATCATAATGTTTCCATGTTCAAGAGGTATTGTTGTAAATTTTAGTTTTATCCTTCAAAACGATGTCCATTAGGGTTTAGGGTTTAGAATTTATGTTCCTGAAATTTCATAAATATGAATATATGTTATAACAATCTTACCGATTGTTTTAAATGTTTTAAAAACCGAACTAGACAACAAACATGGTTCAATCACCTTAAGTTGTTCGAACCGGGACAAAACCATGATCAGACGCCAAAATAACCGAACTGTGGTAAAGGCCGGTTCAAGTTTGAACCGTCTAGTTTAGTTCGGTTATTAAAACACGCTTAGCAAAGAAAGAAATTAGTAGTGGTTGATCACTTGAAGTATGATGCTTATTGAACATTTATGCCTCAAATTCCTATGTGACTGTTAAATTTTCAGGAGCTATGAATTAATGGAAGAGAGACTCAAAGTGTATGTATACAGAGAAGGAGCTAGACCTATACTGCATTCACCATTTCTCACAGGAATCTATGCTTCTGAAGGGTGGTTCATGAAGCTGATGGAAGCTAATAAAAGATTTGTAACAAAGAATCCAAAGAAGGCTCACCTGTTTTACTTGCCTTTCAGTTCTAGGATGCTAGAGGAAGCTTTGTATGTAAAGGATTCACATAGCCACAAGAATCTGATTCAATATCTACACGATTACGTTGACCTGATAGCGGCGAGACATTCTTTCTGGAATAGAACTGGAGGTGCTGACCATTTTCTCGTCGGTTGCCATGATTGGGTACTAATGACTTCTTCTCTTTGTCAATTTGTTGGAAATCTAAGGTTTTAAGTTGCGATCGCGTTGCAAATATGGCCGCAATTGCAATTAGTTGTGGTTTATTTTCTGATACGAGATTTCTCTCCACTATGCAGGCCCCATCAGAAACAAAGTTGCGCTTGGCGACCTGCATAAGAGCCCTCTGTAATGCCGATGTAAAAGAAGGTTTTTTCTTCGGAAAAGACGCGTCTCTTCCAGAAACATACGTCCGAAACGCTCAAAACCCAACACGGGATCTCGGAGGTAACACATTTTCAAAGAAGACAACACTAGCCTTTTTCGCAGGGAGCATGCACGGTTACGTCAGGCCAATTCTGCTAAAGCACTGGGAAAACAAAGATCCAGACATGAAAATCTTTGGAAAGTTGCCAAAATCTAAAGGAAACAGTAACTACATTCAGTACATGAAGAGTAGCAAGTACTGTATTTGTGCAAGAGGGTATGAAGTGAATAGTCCAAGAGTTGTGGAAGCTATATTCTATGAATGTGTTCCAGTTATCATATCTGATAATTTTGTGCCACCCTTTTTTGAGGTTTTGGATTGGGAGTCATTTACTGTTGTGGTTTTGGAGAAGGATATTCCGAATTTGAAAAATATACTGGTTTCAATTCCAGAAAAGAGGTATCTTAGATTGCTTATGAGGGTGAAAAAGGTACAGAAGCATTTCTTGTGGCACAAGAATCCTGTCAAGTATGATATATTTCATATGATCCTTCATTCTATTTGGTACAATAGAGTCTTCTCTGCCATTAGCTAGATACTTTGGATATAATGTAGGAGGAGATTCATTTTTCCCCTTTTAAAATATAGGTAAGGTCATTTGTTGTGTAGATATCTTTTGGAGGTTTGGTGTAAATACAATTTCTCTGTTGGCTTCCTTTGCATACTTCCATTTTTTGCCAAGTTCTTGCATATTGTCTTTATCAATAAAATCAAAATCAAAATCAATATGAAAAGCTTTTGAAAGAAAGACAACTTGAGGAATACATCAAATAATACAAGATCAAATACGCGCACAACCGAAAACTTTCTAGCCATGGTAAATATAAAAAGGAAGATTGGGATAAAATACATCAAATGCACTATTACACAACCAATTTTTTCCTGAACTGGTTATTGACATAGCATGGTGATTTCTTCCTAAAAGATAAATGAGGAGGTAAAGGGCATTAAATTGTGGCACTGTTTTTCATTTTACTGATAGAATGTCTTGGGCCTTACACTGCCCTGGCCATTTTATTGACTTGCATTAAACAGATAAGTTTTACTCATCACATAAAACCTGTACTGGGCCAGGGCCAGTTGAATACATTGATCCAATGTGTTATTCACGGAGTAGGGTCTAGAGTGCAGGTGATCTAAATTTACAATCCATTAAACAGATCTCCGCGCCCAACTATATAAAGGAAAACGCGCTATTTCTCAAATTAACTTCATTTACTCATATTACTCTCATACTGAAGATTTAGGCGCTGGAGTGTTAATCTTGCATGTCAGTCTCACTTTCACCGCATCGATGCAATCGCAACCTCTTATCACCGATCAATTGTGATTTCCTCGTGGAACAAAATCCTTCCTGACAAATAAATAGCCAATTCACTACATATGATTGAATGCAGATTCTAAAAACAAAAACTTGAGAACTAAACTAGGAAACTTAAATTTTTGTAGATGTAGGAGAAAAGTTCAGGCAAAAAAACCAAAATCTAGTTAGAATTCTTGAAACTGCAAACCAAAGTTGTTGGTAGATTTCTTAAAAGTCAATAGCAAGTAGCAACCCTTGTGTTATCCATATCACTTTTAATAAACAAATCCTTTTGGATACTGAAAATCCACCATCCATCACCATCTAACCAGAGTTAAAAGTACAGTAGACTAACCCAACTGCAAATTCGTTCACTGACATGAAGCTTAATAACTCACATGGTATGATTACCTAAATGTATATTCTTAAGGACTAAATATTAAATACCATACAGTTTCCAATATGCATAAAACTTGTACAACTATCAGCTACATACTTTGTTGACAAATAAGTGATGATAGTGATACAGCTAAAAATAACTAATGAACAGAAAATAACATAATCAATGAGAGAAATCCCCACATACTATGTGAAAGCTGCCGTTATATGATATGAAGGATGCACAAGCCTTAGATTGTATATCCTTGAAGCACTATGCATATCAAAATAATCAAGAATAATGAATATTTATACATGAAGATGATTCATAAACAATGTAGCAACGACATTTTCTTAAATTAAAAGTGTGTTCGGTCGGTGGCTGAAATTTACACAGGTTTGTTTTCATAGTTCAGGGACGTACATAGAAACTAAAACTAAAAACAAGTAATAATTTGTCACAAGTATCTGCACAAACAATTCATCAAACAGGCTGTGTACAACGACGTATGTGAAAACGTATCAAAATTCTAGACGATTTCTTGAAAGTCAAGTAACTTGAAAGTGAAAAAGTGATTGCAGAATTTAAAAAAGTGATTAATTGTAAGACTGGTAGGTTGCTCAAACAAATAAATAACTCTGTTTGGATACCGAAAATTTATCATCCATCACCATCGAACCTACAGAGTTAAAAGTACAGTAGACTACTAACCCAATTGTGATTTTGTTCAGTGACATGAAGCTTAATAACTCACATGGTATGATTACATAAATTTATATTCGTGATGACTAAATATGAGTAAGAAAAGGGAAAGGATTGATCAACTGTTTATCATAGCTACATACATGAAACATTTACTTTGTTCGCAAACTATGAATCTCCGATCTATCATTCACACGGTGTGTCGCTGTGTCGGATATGTGTCTGACACCGATAGACATGTATCTAACACATTTTTGAAGTGTCCAAAAAAAAATTTTGAATCATAACGAACACGTATACGACATCTTATTTTAAAGGACATAATACAATTCATAATTTCATAATTTAAAATAAAACAAGTAAAAAGTTTTCAAAATTTTAAAAAAGGGAGATTTTTTTCTTTCAGATTTCACTTCTCCACTATAAAAACAATAGAATTAAGATTTTTTTTTTTCATATTCCATTATTTTTGTTGAAAGGAATTAGAACACATATTCATTTATTCATTCTTTTAGGAGAAACATGATGACACCACATCAAGCGGAAGCTTTAGTATATGTGCATAATAACTTTTCACTTTTATCAAGGAGCACTCCCCAATATCACCAATAGAAAACTAAAATGTGGGATATTGCAGGAGATGAGTTTGACTCATTAGATAACATTAGATTTCTTGAAGTTATTGACATGTCTTTGGATGAGTCGGTTTAGAGGCTGATTTTCTCGATGCAGAGTGACTATGATATGATACGTATCATTTTGTTTTGCTGAATTTATGTCTTTTTTTTCGTTGATTGAAAGTATTAAGTTTAAATAAACATAAATTTTGCTTCTTATTTTAAATTCTTTATAAGTTGTGCTTGTAAATTGAATTATTATATTAATATATAAAATATATACAGTCGTGTCCGTGTCCTATATTTTTTTACATAAGCAAAGTCTTTCATAGTTGGCAAATAAGTGATGATGCTAATACAGCCGAAAAGAAGAAAAAAACAAAATCTCCAACATACTTTGTGAAAGCTGATTTTATATTATGTGAATGATGCAAAAGCCTTAGATTCTAAATTCTAAATACTGACAGCACATAATTGTATGTGGAATAAGTTATTAGCATAAAAATCATTGAAATGTGTTGCGGTGAGAATCATATATCAAACTATTAATTAATTTGAATCACAAATCATGAAGTTCACCACCGAACTTTGATTTATTCAAAAGAAAAGGTAAAGATCGAAGAAAACCCTAAGTGCATTATGTAACAACAAAGTTAAGAGATCTAAGGTTCGGGGTTGGTTATACCTAAGAAAGGTGTTAGCATCCTAAGTATCTGTAGTACTCTACATGAACCTCTTGTTAGTATTTATATTAACCAGTATGCATGTAACACCCTTTTCTACCCCACAATTATCATGGCAAAATAACACAGATATCAGATTAAATAAATAAATCTCATAAAAAGTCACCAAAAGGGCGTACATTTTCCAATGTCATCAAAATAGGTCAATACTCTGTAAACCACGGGTTTTCTCAAAATACATCAAACAACATAAAACAGCGGAATTCAAAGGCATAAGTCAAGGTTTCCTCATTAGGGAAAATAAGCAAAATAACTCAACCGTATAAAGTTTAACTCAAAGAACTCAACCTGATGTTACATATCAGAGTAAGACCCTTTAAGTTAACCATAAAGGCTAACGACTCTAAACTTCAAAAATACTCATCGACGATCCACAGATAAACTTGGTCATCTGCACGTTACCCACGTGGAGGTAACATTCAAACATGCAGGGTGAGTAAAACAATTCATAATAATCAATGTATAACAATCAACATGTAAAACGGCATCATAATCATATTCAACACATTCATATCCTTCAATATGCCTCAAAGGTCACAACATCATAATTGATACAAAAAGACTCATAAATGCAATGCGACAAGACTCAATGCATGTGGTACCAATCATCACAGGTCGATGGACACTGGGCCATCAACCCTCCATAAATCCCCACCAATAGGATTGATTCTACTTGAGAACCGGAGCACATCAAAACACTTCACATCCACATAATGGGATTGAAGCCAAAGTAATCGAGGTCCTGAACCGAAGTCCGGATGCACATGAATGCATGATGCACACGTCAATAATAATCCTCATAATACAGCATATGGTGCATCATCATTCATCATATTCATCATCATCACATAAATCATCATATCTCATGTTATCACATAATTCATCAAATCATGGTAATTTCATCATGTTAATTCAATCAATATATCATAGAAACCATCATGTCATCATGTACATATCACCCAAAACCCACTGCCATACTCATGGTGATTTACTACAGAAATCACAGAATCAAACATCAAGGCATCGCTGCACACGACCAAAATTCGCGAAACTCTGCTACATTCGCTGGCATGTTCGCTAGGCGAGTCTGGGGCGAGTTTCTTCGCTAGGCGAAGGATTCTTCACTAGGCGAGTATGGGAACAACATTGTTCGATTGGCGAAGCTTTCTTCACTAGGCGAACTATGCGATGACAACAAATTCTTCTACGCACCAGAACACAAATTCACTCAAAAGGCTCTACGATTCACTTACCCAATGCCCCTAAAACATCCCTAAATCATCCCTAAGGTCATACGGCGATAAAGGCACAAAACCTACGGTTTATTAGGCCAATCCCGGAACACATTCAGTCCTAAATCACAAATTTTCATTCAATTACACCCTAAGGCATTAAAGTTACTCATTATCCAATTCCTATCCCTTTAGGATCAGACCTATAACAGTTTAAGGTTTTTGGCCACGAAGGGCAAAGATCAGTATTGCTCATATCAAATAGTCAGGAATACTTACCACTAACCATAATCCTCAAGGTTTCACTATCAATTTCCCTAAGGGTTAAATTAAGGTCAAATCTCCCTTTTCCCATAATTCTCCATAAAACCCTTAAACCCTCAATCAACTATAATCACATCAAAAGATATACATGGAAAATCATGAAAGAATATACTCCCCATACCTTAGTCGACGATTCAAAGCCTTCACGATTATCTTCGGAAATCTTCTGCCTCCAATCTTCTCCTCAGAGCTCTGTCCATAAAACTTTTCACGGTTAACAAATGAATCCAACTTC